AACTAAATTATAAATTATAGTTACTCTCAAATTTATTTTTACTAATCATGAATTCAATAAATCATTTAGATTCCAGTAATGTTGAAATCAACATTTTGTGTATTACATGGTTTAAAGGATAAAAGTCTTTATGCATTGAATGAGTGTCCTTATGATCAGGTAAATTAACACCAAGATAGATTTTTATAAATTTATATAATTAATAATAAAATAAGTAATTTCATTTTTTTCAATCAAATAAAATAAAATACACAGGGTGGATATTTTATAATTAATGGTTCGGAGAAGGTATTAATTGCACAAGAAAGAATGGCTACAAATACCGTCTATGTATTTTCAAAAGCACCACCTTCACCTTATTCTTTCACAGCTGAAATAAGAAGTGCTATGGAAAAGGGTTCAAAATTGGCAAGTTCTTTGGTGATAAAACTTTTAGCAAAAACTGCCGAAAAAGGAGTAAGTGGATATATTTTAATTTTCTCAAGAATTCATTAACCTTTCCTAATAGAATTAAAATAATATTACTATAAATGGTTAAAAAAAGGCAACAGGACAATTTATACATGCCACAATGCCATACATTAAAAAAGATGTGCCAATAGTGATTGCTTTTCGTGCCCTTGGTGCTGTTTCAGATCAAGATTTTTTATCATTTGTTTGTTATGATTTTAATGACAATGAGATGTTGGAAGCTTTAAAACCTTGTATAGAAGAATCTTTTACAGTCCAAAATTCAGATGTAAGTAGTCAGTAACTTTAGGATTTTCATTATTGCATTTAATTTATTTGGTTTATATATTTTGATAATAAATGTAAATTTGTTATTTAGGTTGCAGCTGATTGGATTGGTCGTCGAGGAACAGCTGGCAATTTGTCAAGAGATAAACGTATAAAGTATAGTATATTTTTATGTATATTATTATCCTATTTTATAACAACAATATTAAACATCATTGTTACCACCTAAATTTCAGATATGCTAAAGAGATACTTCAAAAAGAATTGTTGCCGCATGTATCCACAGATTATGGATGTGAGAAAAGGAAAGCTTTCTTTCTTGGTTACATGGTTCATAGACTTTTACTTGCTGCTCTTGGAAGACGTGAATTGGATGATCGTGATCATTATGGTAAAAAAAGAATGGATCTTGCTGGCCCTCTTTTGGCTTCTTTATTCAGAATGCTGTTCAAAAAACTTACAAAAGATGTTTCTTTATATCTTAGAAAGGTTATTACTACTATTTATATTCTTTTTAAAAATTAAAATATATATAATAAATATTATTCGTTTTTGTTGTTTAGTGTATAGATTCAAATCGGGAATTCAATTTAAATCTGGCCATTAAGGCACAAACAATCACAAATGGTTTAAAGTATTCTCTTGCTACAGGTAATTGGGGTGATCAAAAGAAAGCTATGCAGGTAGAATATTTATTGTAAATTTTTTTTTAAAAAACATCTCTGAAATTCATCAACTCACAAAAAGAAAATTCTTTTAACACAGTCTCGAGCAGGTGTATCACAGGTGCTTAATAGATACACTTTTGCATCCACATTATCACATTTAAGAAGATGCAATACACCTATGGGAAGAGATGGGAAAATAGCAAAGCCTCGTCAATTACACAATACTCATTGGGGTATGGTATGCCCTGCTGAGACACCTGAAGGTCAAGCTTGTGGTCTTGTTAAAAACCTTTCTCTAATGTCCTACATATCTGTTGGAAGCTCTTCAAAACCAATAATCGACTTCTTGGAGGAATATGGAATGATCAATCTGAATCAACAATTTGATCCTTCAAACATTAAAGACAATACAAAAATTTTTGTTAATGGTAAATGGGCTGGTGTGTCTTCTTCGCCTGAAACTTTAGCCAACACTTTGAAAAATTTGAGACGTACTGTTGATGTAAATCCTGAAGTTAGTGTTGTAAGAGATATACGTGAAAATGAGTTGAGAATTTATACTGATGCTGGAAGAGTTTGTCGTCCTTTATTTATAGTGGAAAATGAATGTTTAAATATAACCAAAGCTCATATACAACGATTAGATGTATACAAAATGGTAAGGGCTAGTTTATGTCGTATTTATCAAAAATCTTTTTTGAAATCATTTATATTTAATTTATGCATGTAAATAATTAGAAAAATAAAAACAAAAAACATAAGAAAGATGAAATAACAGAAGAAGAGGAGGAGGAGGAGGAGGAGGAGGCGGAAGAGGACATAGAAGATGAAGATGATGTGGATGATGTGGATGATGAGGAGCAAGATGTTTATGAGGAGTTATCAGGATCAAGGAAAAGAAAGAAAAGGAATGTCACTTATACATGGCAAGATTTAATATCCAATCGATTGATAGAATATATTGATGCAGAAGAAGAAGAAACAATTATGATTTGCATGACACCTGATGATATAGCAGATTCAAGGAAAGCTAATATGGTTTTTGAAGAACCTGAAACTGCTGCCGCTGCTAATGCTATGACAAATGATGTTTCAGCTCGTGTCAAGAGCAAGTCACATCAATCGATACACACATGGACTCATTGTGAAATTCATCCTAGTATGATATTAGGAATTTGTGCAAGTCTTATTCCATTTCCTGATCATAATCAAGTAAGTTTTTTTTAATACTTATATCGCAAATATATTAATAGTAATAATAATTATTAATTTTTTTTGTGTTGGAAATAGTCACCACGTAACACCTATCAATCTGCTATGGGTAAACAAGCTATGGGTATATATGTGACAAATTATCAATTGAGAATGGATACTTTGGCAAATATTTTATATTATCCACAAAAGCCTTTGGTAACGACTAGATCCATGGAATTCTTAAGATTTCGTGAATTGCCAGCTGGACAAAATGCCATGGTTGCAATCCTTTGTTATAGTGGATACAATCAAGAAGATTCAATCATTATGAATCAAAGTAGTATTGACAGAGGATTGTTTAGAAGTATTTTTTATAGGAGTTATATGGATCAAGAAAAGAAAGTGGTTAGTGCATATACACCTTCTCAAAACACTTTATTTTATTTTATTCAGAGATGATTATGATTATAATTGTTACGATATTGAATTTATTTTTTCTCTAAAATTATAGGGAATAATATCATTAGAAGAGTTTCAAAAACCCACAAAAGAAACTACCCTTAGATTGAAACATGGAACATATGAGAAATTAGAAGATGATGGATTGATTGCACCTGGAACTAGAGTGTCCGGTGATGATATAATTATTGGCAAAGTTACACCAATTGCATCAGATGTAATTGAATTAGGACAAAGAACAGCTAGACATATCCAACGAGATGCTTCTACACCTATGAGAAGCACTGAAACTGGTATTGTTGATCAGGTTATGGTCACAACAAATGCTGAAGGATTAAAATTTGTTAAAGTAAGAGTAAGGAGTACTAGGGTACCACAAATGGGAGGTAATATATATTCTTTTGGTATTTTTTTGGCTGAGGAAATATATGCATATATTTACATGAGTTAAATTTGAATAGATAAATTTGCTAGTAGACATGGTCAGAAGGGTACGATTGGTATAACATATCGACAAGAAGATATGCCATTTACAGCTGAAGGTATTACACCTGATATTATTATAAACCCACATGCCATTCCTAGTCGTATGACAATCGGGCATTTAGTTGAATGTTTGTTGGGCAAGGTATGAATAAAGAAAGAAGTATCAATTATTTTAGGAGGGTGTGTATGTGTGTGTGTGTATATATATATGATAATATATGTATGTAGGTTTCAACACTTATCGGACAAGAAGGTGATGCAACACCATTTACTGATGTAACAGTCGAAGCCATATCACAAAGTTTAAGGAGTCATGGATATCAAGGTCGTGGATTTGAAGTCATGTATAATGCTCATACAGGTCGTAAATTGGCAGCACAAATATTCATAGGTCCAACATATTATCAACGGCTAAAACATATGGTGGATGATAAGATTCAGTAAGTAAAAAAGTGAGATAAATTTGCATTGACCTTTTTTAATTTGATTTTCTTTTAGTTCAAGAGCAAGGGGGCCTGTACAAATTCTTACAAGACAACCTGTAGAAGGACGTAGTCGTGACGGAGGTTTACGTTTTGGTGAAATGGAACGTGATTGTATGATATCTCATGGTACAGCTATGTTCTTGAAGGTAGTTATCTATTATTATTATATTATTATTGTAGTAATAATAATATTTATATGTAGTTAAATAATTATTATAATTATAATAAAGGAACGTCTATTCGATGCATCGGATGCTTATCGTATCCATGCTTGTGATATCTGTGGATTAATGGCAATTGCAAATCTTAAAAAAAATACATTCCAATGTAAATCATGTAAAAACACTACGCAGGTATGTTTTACCACCATTAATCATTGTCATTTATATTATATTCATTACTCACTCACTCCTTTCACCTGTTGATCTACTTGTGTAATTTTGTTTTAGATATCTCAAATACATATTCCATATGCTTGTAAATTACTATTTCAAGAATTAATGGCAATGAACATTTCACCGAGATTATTTACTTAATAACAATAGTAATATTAATAGATATATAATTTTTTTAAAAAATTTTGTTTTTATATATTTATTTGTAAAAAATTTGGAATTAAAGATAAAAATAGAATTTCTGTGATTTTTTTAGTAGATGCTTTAGTGAAATATTTGGTTTTTATAAAAATTCTTGCACAATCCATTAATTAACAATTAGCCAAATCGACCTACTTACCAACTCAAATCATTATCACTTTATAAACTTCATAAATTTATCAACCAATGATCAAATTAGCCGGTTCTTATTTTTTGCTCAGTAAATAAAACATGCCTATTAACTTTTCATAAAAAATTATTATTAATGTCAAGCTAATAAAAACAAATAATTTACAAAAGAATTTGATCGGTTACCTTTTGGATCATATTTAATAAATGACAGTTTTGGTAATTGACGTGGTCTAACTCTTGTATAAAAAAAACCAGTACCAGCTGTTGATACAAGTTTAACTATTGTTGTTCTAAATCAAATATTAATTTGAATGAAAGAAAAATTAATTATAATTTATTGTAACTTTTTATTACCTTGCCTTTGCTTTTTTTGCCACTTTTTTTTATTTTTTTTGAAAAAAACATCATTAATATAATGAATTTATAACAATAACAATAATGATAATGATAACAATTTACTTTACTTACTTTGGTATTAGTATTAATGTAATTAGTGTGATTAATAAAATTTTATTTTACCCGTTGCCCAGATCTTGATTGTTGTAATGTACCGTTACACAAATAATTTTTGAACAGTCAAACCTCGTTATAACGAATTTACTATTACTAGTCGCGTTATAACGGATTTTATGTTTATATGGTGCACGTCATCTATAAACGTCAATTGCAAGGTGTGAGGAATTCATTGAATGGGAACACTCAATTGGGATATCAGATAAAAATAAAAAAATTACAAAACAAAAGATTCTCAAGCCACTTCATCCAATTCTCAGAACGTTATACATCCTAAAAATGGGAAGAGTGTATAGAATTTCATATTTTTTGGTGCTAAGTGGGAAAATTTTTGCCTTTAGCATGCTATCTTTTTGTATAATTATTTAGATGGATTTATTTAAATATGGCTATTTAATTGTTTTAATTAAAGGTGGCAGACTAGCTTTAAATTAACAATAGGTTATTTGGGGTAGAATTACATGTAAAAAATTTGTAAATATTTAATGATGCATTAAATTTTAGATAAATAAACGTGGATTCAAGGCCTCACTTTAGCAATAAAAAAAAATAATGATGATGATGAATGTTATGTTTTGTTAAGTGACTCCATATAGAAATTTGCATCCAAGTTGTGTTATTCCAATAATCTACTGGTAATGTGTCTTTTGTTATTCCTCTCAATAGCTTGAATTATATGTTAAAAGAATTGTAACTTTATCCTTATTTTTTGTTCCTAAAGTGGTCCAGTTGATAACCGGGTTCCATCTTCAAGAATGCGCTTTTTGTCCTTGTTGAGATATAGAAATTTTTTATGAATTTTATTGGTTTTATATTGTTATTATTAAATTTATTTCGTGTACGGACAGACGGGGTCTGTTTCATGCACGGGATTTTTATTTCAAAAGATGACAAACACTTAAGTTTTATTTATATCCTCAAAACTTCAAGGTCAATGAAAAACAATCTGACGTTTTTAAAATAAATTAACCATTTACTTCAAAGAAAAAAAACAATATGTATTTTTTTTCTACTTTTTCCATTTCTCTGTTTTTGCCAATTAAATCAATGGTATTCATTTAATTGACAAAATGTTTAATAAATCGTTGTTAAAATATGTTAATAATAGGACAATTATTTTATTTTATTAATTATCATTACAATTGAAACCTTTAAAGAATATATTGGATAGAAGCTATAAAATAAAATATGGCGAATGGGCCGTTGCAGATGAATATTTCGTGATAATAAAAGGAAAACAAAAAGATCAAATAAAATACAATAAATGTATTCTTTGTAAAAAGGGTTTAAAAAAAAATCAAAACAAAAAATATCGAATGATAATGTCTTGTAAAGCGGAAAAAGGAAAATGTAAAAATACAAACTTGAACATTTTTAGTATGCTTGTTTGTTTTAGGAGATATGGAGTTAGCAGAATCTTCTTCAAATCAAGAAAATTTTAACCAGACAAAAAATATTTCAGTTTGTGTAAAGAAGATCCTTAACAAAAACAATGAGAAGGTGATCGAATTGATTAATGATGTCGATCATATTTAGAATTTTTATTTTTTTCTCTCTTCAACCATTTACAAAAATAAATTCTTTTTCTTATTATAATTATCAGCTTATCAATATAACAGCTATTTGTTAGTTGTTTACTTTATGTAAAATTCTTGTTAGAGCCAAAAAAATCAAATAGGTATCAATTTAGTGTTACTGTTACGACCTTATATGGGAATTAACGGATTCATTTGTTGCACGAAATCACAAAATGTTACACAAAAAAGCATCCTTTTCTTTTCCTTGTTATGAAGTATTTCATCGTTTAGTCATCTTTTCAACTTTGCAAACAGAACAAAACCAACAGGCATTTTAGTAATGATTTGTAATCAAGGAATAAAAATTTATTACTTCGAATAGATCAGGGTGGGTCAGGGAATGTTGAAGTGAAAAGAGTATACTTGTAAAATTGAAAGGTTGTTATTTAGTTGTACTTGCGCCCACCTCATAAGCGTTTATTCTGAAAGATGATCAACATATAAAAGGAATGCCCACCGTGCTAATCCCAGGTAGGCTCGTAGAACAATTTGAAATGATTTTGGAAGCTCTCGCAAGCCAATCATAAATTTCCTAAAATTTCCCATGACGCAGATCACCATTACTATTATTATATTTAGAAATTCCAAATGTAGCAAATATCAATAGAGATTTCCAGGGTAATCCTAGCACAAAATCCAAAAATACATACGGGCTGGTGACTTGACATTAAAGTTAATGTCAAAAAATGCTTGATATTTTGACCACAATGGCGTTCCATCATTGTCATTCCTAAAATGGATGATTTGTTTCATTAAATTTAATTCGTTTTCTTCTTAAAGAAATAATAAATCTGTTGTGAAATGAAAATTTTTAAAATGGAAAGTTCATTTTGAGAATCAATCCATATTTAAATATCCAGATATTGTTATTTTGTTAAGTTTGCCTTTTTAATTTTGTAAAAAATAATAAAAAAAAAAATGTCATATAACAATCAATATAACATGGCAGAAAAGCCTTATAATAATAATAATAATCCCAATCGACCTTCCACTAGTAATAATAATTTTCCTCCCAAAGGCACCGATCAACAACAACATGCACCACCACCATATACACCACCACCACAACCCACACATGCTTCCAATAATCCATATCCTGCTCCAGCCGCTAATCAAGTATATTCGCCACCACAACAGAATAATTATTATCCACCGCAACAACAACAATCACAATACCAACAACAACCAATGGTTTATCCAACTCAACCTCCAATGGCTTACCCGCCACCAGCAGCAGCAGCAACAGTAGCACCAACGACTAATTTCGCTCCAACCACTGTCATTAACGTACAGCAAGCGGCAAATGGTGTTGCAGGTAATGGTGCTTGTTGGAATTGTGGTAGTACTAGAAGACCTATTATCACTCGGGTTCCGGGTACAACTTCTTGGGTTGCCGGATTTATAATCTGTATCGTTTTTTGGCCATTGTTTTGGTTACCTTGTGTACTTCCTGGTTGTATGGACGAGACTGCTGTATGTCCTGATTGTAATAGAAATCGTTAGGTTGTTCATGTTTATTGGGTTGATTAGAGGTCATATAAGATTGATTATTGATGGTGAATAGAGGGAATTTTTCATTTTTTTATTGCATTTTATATTTATTTTATTATTTATTTATTTATTAAAAAAATTAATTTCATAAGAATTAAGTTAAGTGAATATTTAATATTTTTTACCAAGAGACATATATATTATAATATTCGTGGACTATATAAATTACTTATAGAAGTATCAATATTTTTATATAAAAAATTATTTATTAATTAAAATATATAATAAATTATTCTTTAATTGCAAAGATCGAATCATTGAAATTTGATTTGCAATAAGATAATGAAGAAATCATCAATTTCTACCCTGAATTACTAATAACTAACAGTTTGGATTTTGGTGCGCAATTATAGCAAATTTTTTTTTAAAAAAAATAGAATAGTAAGTGTTGTTTATAATCAACACTGAATTATTTTCAAAAGTCATTTATTTATTTCCAGATGGCCATGTATATTTATAAAAAAAGAAGAAATCTATTTCTTTTAGGTTCAAGCAATTTTTAAAACTTTGTTTAAAAATGATATATACTGTATTTACATATTTTCTGTTTATTTTTTTTAAAAAAAACATATGTATTAAAAAGAAATGGAAAGTGAAGCAAAGCCAAAATTATAAAAATCCTAATCAATTTTCATATTTTTGTCGCCCTTTTCTATTCTTTCATTTCATTATCATTATCTTCATTATCATCATTTCCACTTTGTTTTACATCATTGTTAGCAGAAGGTTTATTTGAACCGGGAATATGACCAGATTGTAACAATTTTTCAAGACGGGCAACTTCTTCCAAAGTTTTGGCATTACGAATGGCCTCATATTTGTTTTATTAACAAATGATCATCATTATTTTTATTTTAAAATGAAAATGAATTCTTTAAATAAGCAGCTCTAACCTTTATCTGAGCTTGTTCTTCTGTTGACATACCAAGTGTGGGCAAATTTGATTTTGGTAGATTAATGTTGATGGTGGTGGTGGTGGTGGTGGATGAGACTATACCTTCACCAGATTCAATAATTTTTGAATTTGTTTCTGATATAGATTTTGCAAGTGAGGTTGGTTCACCTTTTGTTGTTTCAAATAATTTTTTGGCTTCTTTACGTTCCTATAACAATAATAATAATAACAAAATAATCACAAAATTATTATCTTTTAAAAAAATCAAAGAAAAGGTTTCATACCATATCACGAACTCTTTTGAAATCTATAACTCTAATACTAGGGATCTTCCGAATCACCCAACTTCGATACCATTGTTTCCTGGTTACTGGGTTATCCAGTAAACTTATATATTGTAATCTTTTAATTCCATTTAATGGTTGCAAATCAGGTAATTCCATTATATTGTTGTTTGTTAAAACTAAAGTAGTAAGGTTGGGTAGAAATTCAAATAGTTGTGGATCTAGTCGATTAATTCGATTATTGGCTAATAATAGTGTACAAACACGACATAATAATGGGAAATTACCCAATATGCGAATGTCATTGTCTATTAGATCAATTGCGTCATTTAAGTCCTTTGTTTCAAGAAAATTTATCATAATTAATGTTATAAACAATGTATGATTTAGCTCATTTGTGAATGTATTATATATGTATGTAACATCATAATATCATTCGTATTTTTTCCTAATCATTAATTACCTTTGACACGCCAAGATTTTCTATAGAAGGAATTTTATTACCTATTAATAAAGTAATTATAAAAAAAAAGGAAAAAATAACTTTCGAGTCAGGGAACAATAAAAATAAAAATATATGTAAAGATGAATGAATTAATTAATATACACATAGGTATTAACAGAAACAAATAGTATAAAAACTAACAGAATAGTCAATCACTGCTCTTTGCTATTAATTATTTGATTGATCATCAAAAATAGCAATCAATTAAAATCATCTAATCAAATCATTGACTGATTTATCAATTATTTGCTAAAAATTATTTCTTGAAACTTCTGCATAATTCATCCATCTAATTTCCAGATTTATTATTTTCCTAAAGGATACCTCGTAGGTTTAATTCGCGATCTTTTACAGTATTGATGTAAGATGGTGAACGTTCAAGGAGTTCAGGTGTAAGTTTCATCACATATGCTTTATATTAAACATCATAAATACAAAAAGTAAACAACTAACAAATAGCTGTTATATTGATAAGCTGATAATTATAATAAGAAAAAGAATTTATTTTTGTAAATGGTTGAAGAGAGAAAAAAATAAAAATTCTAAATATGATCGACATCATTAATCAATTCGATCACCTTCTCATTGTTTTTGTTAAGGATCTTCTTTACACAAACTGAAATATTTTTTGTCTGGTTAAAATTTTCTTGATTTGAAGAAGATTCTGCTAACTCCATATCTCCTAAAACAAACAAGCATACTAAAAATGTTCAAGTTTGTATTTTTACATTTTCCTTTTTCCGCTTTACAAGACATTATCATTCGATATTTTTTGTTTTGATTTTTTTTTAAACCCTTTTTACAAAGAATACATTTATTGTATTTTATTTGATCTTTTTGTTTTCCTTTTATTATCACGAAATATTCATCTGCAACGGCCCATTCGCCATATTTTATTTTATAGCTTCTATCCAATATATTCTTTAAAGGTTTCAATTGTAATGATAATTAATAAAATAAAATAATTGTCCTATTATTAACATATTTTAACAACGATTTATTAAACATTTTGTCAATTAAATGAATACCATTGATTTAATTGGCAAAAACAGAGAAATGGAAAAAGTAGAAAAAAAATACATATTGTTTTTTTTCTTTGAAGTAAATGGTTAATTTATTTTAAAAACGTCAGATTGTTTTTCATTGACCTTGAAGTTTTGAGGATATAAATAAAACTTAAGTGTTTGTCATCTTTTGAAATAAAAATCCCGTGCATGAAACAGACCCCGTCTGTCCGTACACGAAATAAATTTAATAATAACAATATAAAACCAATAAAATTCATAAAAAATTTCTATATCTCAACAAGGACAAAAAGCGCATTCTTGAAGATGGAACCCGGTTATCAACTGGACCACTTTAGGAACAAAAAATAAGGATAAAGTTACAATTCTTTTAACATATAATTCAAGCTATTGAGAGGAATAACAAAAGACACATTACCAGTAGATTATTGGAATAACACAACTTGGATGCAAATTTCTATATGGAGTCACTTAACAAAACATAACATTCATCATCATCATTATTTTTTTTTATTGCTAAAGTGAGGCCTTGAATCCACGTTTATTTATCTAAAATTTAATGCATCATTAAATATTTACAAATTTTTTACATGTAATTCTACCCCAAATAACCTATTGTTAATTTAAAGCTAGTCTGCCACCTTTAATTAAAACAATTAAATAGCCATATTTAAATAAATCCATCTAAATAATTATACAAAAAGATAGCATGCTAAAGGCAAAAATTTTCCCACTTAGCACCAAAAAATATGAAATTCTATACACTCTTCCCATTTTTAGGATGTATAACGTTCTGAGAATTGGATGAAGTGGCTTGAGAATCTTTTGTTTTGTAATTTTTTTATTTTTATCTGATATCCCAATTGAGTGTTCCCATTCAATGAATTCCTCACACCTTGCAATTGACGTTTATAGATGACGTGCACCATATAAACATAAAATCCGTTATAACGCGACTAGTAATAGTAAATTCGTTATAACGAGGTTTGACTGTTCAAAAATTATTTGTGTAACGGTACATTACAACAATCAAGATCTGGGCAACGGGTAAAATAAAATTTTATTAATCACACTAATTACATTAATACTAATACCAAAGTAAGTAAAGTAAATTGTTATCATTATCATTATTGTTATTGTTATAAATTCATTATATTAATGATGTTTTTTTCAAAAAAAATAAAAAAAAGTGGCAAAAAAAGCAAAGGCAAGGTAATAAAAAGTTACAATAAATTATAATTAATTTTTCTTTCATTCAAATTAATATTTGATTTAGAACAACAATAGTTAAACTTGTATCAACAGCTGGTACTGGTTTTTTTTATACAAGAGTTAGACCACGTCAATTACCAAAACTGTCATTTATTAAATATGATCCAAAAGGTAACCGATCAAATTCTTTTGTAAATTATTTGTTTTTATTAGCTTGACATTAATAATAATTTTTTATGAAAAGTTAATAGGCATGTTTTATTTACTGAGCAAAAAATAAGAACCGGCTAATTTGATCATTGGTTGATAAATTTATGAAGTTTATAAAGTGATAATGATTTGAGTTGGTAAGTAGGTCGATTTGGCTAATTGTTAATTAATGGATTGTGCAAGAATTTTTATAAAAACCAAATATTTCACTAAAGCATCTACTAAAAAAATCACAGAAATTCTATTTTTATCTTTAATTCCAAATTTTTTACAAATAAATATATAAAAACAAAATTTTTTAAAAAAATTATATATCTATTAATATTACTATTGTTATTAAGTAAATAATCTCGGTGAAATGTTCATTGCCATTAATTCTTGAAATAGTAATTTACAAGCATATGGAATATGTATTTGAGATATCTAAAACAAAATTACACAAGTAGATCAACAGGTGAAAGGAGTGAGTGAGTAATGAATATAATATAAATGACAATGATTAATGGTGGTAAAACATACCTGCGTAGTGTTTTTACATGATTTACATTGGAATGTATTTTTTTTAAGATTTGCAATTGCCATTAATCCACAGATATCACAAGCATGGATACGATAAGCATCCGATGCATCGAATAGACGTTCCTTTATTATAATTATAATAATTATTTAACTACATATAAATATTATTATTACTACAATAATAATATAATAATAATAGATAACTACCTTCAAGAACATAGCTGTACCATGAGATATCATACAATCACGTTCCATTTCACCAAAACGTAAACCTCCGTCACGACTACGTCCTTCTACAGGTTGTCTTGTAAGAATTTGTACAGGCCCCCTTGCTCTTGAACTAAAAGAAAATCAAATTAAAAAAGGTCAATGCAAATTTATCTCACTTTTTTACTTACTGAATCTTATCATCCACCATATGTTTTAGCCGTTGATAATATGTTGGACCTATGAATATTTGTGCTGCCAATTTACGACCTGTATGAGCATTATACATGACTTCAAATCCACGACCTTGATATCCATGACTCCTTAAACTTTGTGATATGGCTTCGACTGTTACATCAGTAAATGGTGTTGCATCACCTTCTTGTCCGATAAGTGTTGAAACCTACATACATATATTATCATATATATATACACACACACACATACACACCCTCCTAAAATAATTGATACTTCTTTCTTTATTCATACCTTGCCCAACAAACATTCAACTAAATGCCCGATTGTCATACGACTAGGAATGGCATGTGGGTTTATAATAATATCAGGTGTAATACCTTCAGCTGTAAATGGCATATCTTCTTGTCGATATGTTATACCAATCGTACCCTTCTGACCATGTCTACTAGCAAATTTATCTATTCAAATTTAACTCATGTAAATATATGCATATATTTCCTCAGCCAAAAAAATACCAAAAGAATATATATTACCTCCCATTTGTGGTACCCTAGTACTCCTTACTCTTACTTTAACAAATTTTAATCCTTCAGCATTTGTTGTGACCATAACCTGATCAACAATACCAGTTTCAGTGCTTCTCATAGGTGTAGAAGCATCTCGTTGGATATGTCTAGCTGTTCTTTGTCCTAATTCAATTACATCTGATGCAATTGGTGTAACTTTGCCAATAATTATATCATCACCGGACACTCTAGTTCCAGGTGCAATCAATCCATCATCTTCTAATTTCTCATATGTTCCATGTTTCAATCTAAGGGTAGTTTCTTTTGTGGGTTTTTGAAACTCTTCTAATGATATTATTCCCTATAATTTTAGAGAAAAAATAAATTCAATATCGTAACAATTATAATCATAATCATCTCTGAATAAAATAAAATAAAGTGTTTTGAGAAGGTGTATATGCACTAACCACTTTCTTTTCTTGATCCATATAACTCCTATAAAAAATACTTCTAAACAATCCTCTGTCAATACTACTTTGATTCATAATGATTGAATCTTCTTGATTGTATCCACTATAACAAAGGATTGCAACCATGGCATTTTGTCCAGCTGGCAATTCACGAAATCTTAAGAATTCCATGGATCTAGTCGTTACCAAAGGCTTTTGTGGATAATATAAAATATTTGCCAAAGTATCCATTCTCAATTGATAATTTGTCACATATATACCCATAGCTTGTTTACCCATAGCAGATTGATAGGTGTTACGTGGTGACTATTTCCAACACAAAAAAAATTAATAATTATTATTACTATTAATATATTTGCGATATAAGTATTAAAAAAAACTTACTTGATTATGATCAGGAAATGGAATAAGACTTGCACAAATTCCTAATATCATACTAGGATGAATTTCACAATGAGTCCATGTGTGTATCGATTGATGTGACTTGCTCTTGACACGAGCTGAAACATCATTTGTCATAGCATTAGCAGCGGCAGCAGTTTCAGGTTCTTCAAAAACCATATTAGCTTTCCTTGAATCTGCTATATCATCAGGTGTCATGCAAATCATAATTGTTTCTTCTTCTTCTGCATCAATATATTCTATCAATCGATTGGATATTAAATCTTGCCATGTATAAGTGACATTCCTTTTCTTTCTTTTCCTTGATCCTGATAACTCCTCATAAACATCTTGCTCCTCATCATCCACATCATCCACATCATCTTCATCTTCTATGTCCTCTTCCGCCTCCTCCTCCTCCTCCTCCTCCTCTTCTTCTGTTATTTCATCTTTCTTATGTTTTTTGTTTTTATTTTTCTAATTATTTACATGCATAAATTAAATATAAATGATTTCAAAAAAGATTTTTGATAAATACGACATAAACTAGCCCTTACCATTTTGTATACATCTAATCGTTGTATATGAGCTTTGGTTATATTTAAACATTCATTTTCCACTATAAATAAAGGACGACAAACTCTTCCAGCATCAGTATAAATTCTCAACTCATTTTCACGTATATCTCTTACAACACTAACTTCAGGATTTACATCAACAGTACGTCTCAAATTTTTCAAAGTGTTGGCTAAAGTTTCAGGCGAAGAAGACACACCAGCCCATTTACCATTAACAAAAATTTTTGTATTGTCTTTAATGTTTGAAGGATCAAATTGTTGATTCAGATTGATCATTCCATATTCCTCCAAGAAGTCGATTATTGGTTTTGAAGAGCTTCCAACAGATATGTAGGACATTAGAGAAAGGTTTTTAACAAGACCACAAGCTTGACCTTCAGGTGTCTCAGCAGGGCATACCATACCCCAATGAGTATTGTGTAATTGACGAGGCTTTGCTATTTTCCCATCTCTTCCCATAGGTGTATTGCATCTTCTTAAATGTGATAATGTGGATGCAAAAGTGTATCTATTAAGCACCTGTGATACACCTGCTCGAGACTGTGTTAAAAGAATTTTCTTTTTGTGAGTTGATGAATTTCAGAGATGTTTTTTAAAAAAAAATTTACAATAAATATTCTACCTGCATAGCTTTCTTTTGATCACCCCAATTACCTGTAGCAAGAGAATACTTTAAACCATTTGTGATTGTTTGTGCCTTAATGGCCAGATTTAAATTGAATTCCCGATTTGAATCTATACACTAAACAACAAAAACGAATAATATTTATTATATATATTTTAATTTTTAAAAAGAATATAAATAGTAGTAATAACCTTTCTAAGATATAAAGAAACATCTTTTGTAAGTTTTTTGAACAGCATTCTGAATAAAGAAGCCAAAAGAGGGCCAGCAAGATCCATTCTTTTTTTACCATAATGATCACGATCATCCAATTCACGTCTTCCAAGAGCAGCAAGTAAAAGTCTATGAACCATGTAACCAAGAAAGAAAGCTTTCCTTTTCTCACATCCATAATCTGTGGATACATGCGGCAACAATTCTTTTTGAAGTATCTCTTTAGCATATCTGAAATTTAGGTGGTAACAATGATGTTTAATATTGTTGTTATAAAATAGGATAATAATATACATAAAAATATACTATACTTTATACGTTTATCTCTTGACAAATTGCCAGCTGTTCCTCGACGACCAATCCAATCAGCTGCAACCTAAATAACAAATTTACATTTATTATCAAAATATATTGCGGCAACAATTCTTTTTGAAGTATCTCTTTAGCATATCTGAAATTTAGGTGGTAACAATGATGTTTAATATTGTTGTTATAAAATAGGATAATAATATACATAAAAATATACTATACTTTATACGTTTATCTCTTGACAAATTGCCAGCTGTTCCTCGACGACCAATCCAATCAGCTGCAACCTAAATAACAAATTTACATTTATTATCAAAATATATAAACCAAATAAATTAAATGCAATAATGAAAATCCTAAAGTTACTGACTACTTACATCTGAATTTTGGACTGTAAAAGATTCTTCTATACAAGGTTTTAAAGCTTCCAACATCTCATTGTCATTAAAATCATAACAAACAAATGATAAAAAATCTTGATCTGAAACAGCACCAAGGGCACGAAAAGCAATCACTATTGGCACATCTTTTTTAATGTATGGCATTGTGGCATGTATAAATTGTCCTGTTGCCTTTTTTTAACCATTTATAGTAATATTATTTTAATTCTATTAGGAAAGGTTAATGAATTCTTGAGAAAATTAAAATATATCCACTTACTCCTTTTTCGGCAGTTTTTGCTAAAAGTTTTATCACCAAAGAACTTGCCAATTTTGAACCCTTTTCCATAGCACTTCTTATTTCAGCTGTGAAAGAATAAGGTGAAGGTGGTGCTTTTGAAAATACATAGACGGTATTTGTAGCCATTCTTTCTTGTGCAATTAATACCTTCTCCGAACCATTAATTATAAAATATCCACCCTGTGTATTTTATTTTATTTGATTGAAAAAAATGAAATTACTTATTTTATTATTAATTATATAAATTTATAAAAATCTATCTTGGTGTTAATTTACCTGATCATAAGGACACTCATTCAATGCATAAAGACTTTTATCCTTTAAACCATGTAATACACAAAATGTTGATTTCAACATTACTGGAATCTAAATGATTTATTGAATTCATGATTAGTAAAAATAAATTTGAGAGTAACTATAATTTATAATTTAGTTAATTGATTAAATTGTTACCTTTCCAATAAAAACCTTATCATAAGAATTTTCATCTAAATCAGTTCTCAAATCACTTTCATTAAACATTTCATTTAATGATGTCTTACCAGCATTCTTGGGATCTTTTGGATCAGCATAGATTATTTCTTCTTTCATATTAACATAAATGGGTGCAGCATACCTAAGTTTATTAATTATTGAAATTTTTTGAAGACAAGATCAAAAAAGTTGAAATTAAACATTTGATAATTTATTAATATGTTTATCATATGCAATAAATATTTGTGATGACTGCATACGTTAAATTTCTTAAACGAGCTTCTTGTGGAAACATTGCTTGAACACTACCATCAGCTTCAGTCATTGTAGGTCTTGAAAGATATACTTGACCGAATCTTATATAAAAGCGTCTCTTTATTCATAAATCATAAAATAATATATAATGTTATTATCATCATCCTCAATATTTGATCATCCATAATAAATTATTAGCAATTAAACTAACATACAGCTTTATCTCCTTCAGAGCTATTTCCTGAAACAGTTTGTAAAACAAGATTTTTATTCTCATCAACTATTTCTTGCATAGTATTTTGTACAAATTCATCAAATGAATCTAATTGTTGTCTCACAAGTCCTTTATCATGAAAAAACGATGAAATCACAGTCCAACAGTCTTCTTGTGAGATGTTGTGTAAATCAGTATCCTGATACATTTTTGTTTTTTTTTGATAGGAAGTATTTTTTAAATGACTATTTATACTCTTCCCTTAACTAAAAAATAATTTTTTTTTAAATTGACATAAAACTTAATGTAATGAATGAGGAAATCTAAAGTTTAAATAATAAACTGGGGATTTCAAATCTGTGAATTTATTATCACAACAAGTAAATTTTTGGTCACAAAAATTTTTGCCCGACGTGATAATTTCGAATTTGACAAAATATACACTCACTGAACAAAAATATATGAACATTTGTCAATCATCAAAAATAATCAAGTGACTTTGACGTAATAAAACTAAATATTTTATTAACCTAATTGATCCTATTTATTAAGTAGAAATCCTTTTTCATATCAAATTCTATAACATACTGAAGTTTCATTGCATATAAATAAAAATTGATTGTTATATGAACCTTAAAAGATAAATGAAAAATTTTTGAAAATTTTTAAAAAATCTTAATCTCAAAAATTGACCACAATGGCAAGTTTTAACATTTCTTATGGTATAAGTAAAAAATGATCACAATGTTTGGATTTAGTTGGTTACGAATTTATAGAACATTTGGTGAATTAATTGTTGAGAAAAATAATAAAACATGGAAATTTTTACAAAGAAGTTTAACCTTGAATTGTTCACTGGTTTAAAAAACAAAAGGCATTGAAAGATACATAAAACTATTTAAAATACATTGTAGTTTATTAAAAAAAATTTAATATCTTTTTGGATTTCCTTTATTTTTTAAAACAGCATCAACTCTTCATGGCATACTATCTATTAATTTATTAATTCTTTCTGGCTTAGTATTAAACCATTCCTCTTTTAATAAATTAGATGATTCTGTCATGTTTTTTGGTTTTATATTTCTCATTCTAAGTCTTCTTTTTAAATCCTGCCATAAATTTTCAATAGGATTAAGGTCTGGACTTTGAGCAGGCCAAGGGAGAACTACAACACAATTTTCTTCTTTCCATTTATCTGCTGCAGCTGCTTTATGACATGTTGTGTTATCTTCTTGAAAAATAAACACACCATCACCATCATTATCTTCTTTTAATTCGCTAATTAAAGGTAATAAATTTTTTGCAAGAAGTTTGTTATAACCACTTGCATTTAATTTGCCTTCAATTAATACTAATAGACCCATTTTTTTCTTGTAAAACATCCCCAAACCATGATTCCATCAGATTTTTTTACTGTTGGACTTAAATTTTCTTTATTAT